CTCACTCACTCACTCACTCACTCACTCACTCACTCACTCACTCACTCTCTCTCTCTCCCACTCACTCTCTCACTCACTCACTCACTCACTCACTCTCTCTGTCTCTCACTCATTCTCTCACTCACTCACTCACTCACTCACTCACTCACTCTCTCTCACTCACTCACTCACTCTCTCTCACTCACTCACTCACTCTCTCTCACTCACTCACTCACTCACTCTCTCTCTCACTTACTCTCTCACTTACTCTCTCACTCACTCTCTCGCACTCTCTCTCTTTCTCTCTCTCTCTCTCTCTCTTTCTCTCTCTCTCTCTCTCTCTGTCCCACAGGGGTGAAAGGTGTTCATTTGCTTCCCACTCTCGTCTCTCTCCTGGGTGAGGTTTGTGCACATCTGGTGTCCCCTTGGTCTTTAGGATTGCCCGTGGATCTACGCCCAGGAAGTGGCCAGCACTCAAGAGTTGTGGCTGCTGCGGTTCTGCAAGGGTTTCAGGATGAAACCTTCCATGGGGGATCCATGGAGGTGTGGGATCCATGGTGCTGACCCGACACCGGATGTTGTACAAACAATCCAATACTGTGCTCGCTGAAAATCGTGCACCGGTCCAAAAGTCTGTGAAACAAACATCGTGCGGCCCATGGAGGTCCATCGTGCGGCCCGTGTCTCTGTTCTCTCTAACCACCGAACATGAACTGAATTGACTATTGCGACCCACAGCCATCTGTCTGGAGTGCACCCACCCTAAACCCAAGCATGCCAAGAGGCTGTGCACACAAAACCTGCCAAGCCAAAGGCGCCCAGCACAGCCTTGGGCGGGTCGACAGGGTCGGTTGACAGAGACATCCCCTGCTGGCGCCAGGGCGACTGCCTTGAAAGTTGAAAGTTTAAGAACCAACGATGTCTCGAGTCAAGGTCACTAGAGATCACCATAGGCATTACTGTAGTGGAGGAAGGGAACATGGTTGAGAATTGCTAGCTGCTAGCGAAGCACTACAACTACAAACATTATGGTCTTGCATCATCTTGCATCCTTGAAGTAGACCTTGATGGCGTTCCAAGACCCAAATGTCCACAGGATGACTTTGTTGAGGATCCGGCTACCAATATTATGCCCACATCATTACCCTATAGTCACTAGTCCAAACACCAATGGAGCACATTTTGTCGCTTTTGGGCGCTGATCGTTGATCAGGGTGAACACGGGCTACGAGTTATGATAGTTATGGGGATTGTGGACACTGCCTCCATGTGTGGAGTGGGATTTTGATCCGGATTGCTTGGAATTTCTCCATGTGGCCAACGCATAGCGTCGTAAGCCTTCCGACCTCTCCACGCCCCTGTTGAGTTCCTGCGGCGGCAACGGGGGCATATGATGGGTAAATGGCGTCGTGTGGATGACCACCATGAATGCGAAACCCGAAAATGTTCATGTTTCAAGTCGTTTTCAGAATCAAAAGCAGGATCACCATGGACCCTGAAAACACTCCTAATCCTAACCAGTGATCTTCCAATGGGCTGAGAAGTGCCCTTGGTGTCCAGTGGTTGTTTGTCGTGTTTGGCCTCACGACATCACCTTTTGGAGATGTTCAATCTGTGCACGGTTGTTGGGAAGTTCTGCCACGAAAGGCACGCCCCACGAAAGGCCGCGAGGAGGCTCGGGGTACTGTGGCTCGGCATTTCGGCCGAATGCGGCTGGATATTTTTTCAGAACTTGTGGTCGGCACACAGAAGCATCCCAAAGGTGTTCCTGTAGGGTGGTCCGTTGGTGATTCCTTGGAAGATACAGTCGCTTGGGGCGGGCTGAAGCACACTTGCACAACAAAGTGCTGCACTAGTAGGTGCATGGTCTTCAAGATCGCGCTGAGTAGTGGCAAAAGGCTACAAAGCCACTACAGCAAAGAAATTGTATTGCAACAGGGCATAGAAGTTTCTTTGGTGTCCAATGGCAATCACTGAGGGCGAGCCCGTCCAACCGGCCTGGAAAGTGGCTGGTGCCATACCATGATTCATGTAGGCCTAGCCATGCCAGTCTTCAATGCTGAAGAACGGGGAGATGGTGAGAATTGCAAGAGTGTCGCGCAAACCCAAATCTAGTCTACAGTATATAGTCTATGGATAGAGAACATATGTGGATATAACCGATGATCAAAACATGATCATTATTATATATATATATATCAAACTGCTCATTCTTTGGGTAGCATGGCAATTGATTAGATTTGCCATCTTCGGGGTGCACTGGGCTGCGCCACAACTCCGGTCAGGTCTACAAACTGAAGACTGGGCAAAAAGTGTCCGCCGGCACAGCCACACAAGCCACCCAAACCTACGCTTCCTCAGCTGATCAGGTGTAGCGGGAGGTAAGAGTCAATCCTACAACGCTCGGCCCCTCCGGACAGTGTTGGACCACTAACCGCACTTGGCTGGAAGTTAGATTGCCTCAGGGTGCTAGTAACTAAGCATCGCTCTTCACGTTTGTAGGGTACCTATCGTCTACAGTGCGTTCCCATTAGCTCCCCGGTCGTCGCCCTGTAAGAAACTGTAATAGTCTGAAATGGGTGGACAATGGTGGACAATAGGTTGGTGACGGCTTAGCTTGCTGAGGCCAGGCAGTCACCGCAACCCTGCCATACCCTGCCATACCCTGCATCACAGCTACGGTGCTAATGCTCGAGAGGAAGATCAAGGCTCGAGGGTTCACGATATCGTTGAGTTCTCCTGGAAGAACCAAAGCATGAGGGTGGTCCCTCAACCACATCCTGGTAGGAGGAGGAGCTCCATGAAACCACAAGGACGGTTAGAACTTCTCTCTCTCTCTCTCTCCCTCCCCCTCTCTCTCTCTATATATATATATATATCACATCATACATATGTATTATTGTTATTTATATGTTCATCTCACTTTACTCAGCAACTACTCCCTGGCTGTTGGGGAAAGCTTTGAGGTCTTGCCACAAACACCCAATAAACCGGCGGAGATGGACTGGTCGTGGCATGTTGGGGCACGAGGATATTGACCAAAGCGAAAAGAAACTCCTGCAACACGTCACGCATCCAACACCAAGCAACGTGAGACCACGCACCACTTGGCCCCGGCATCCCGTGCAAATCTCAGGCAGTGGGGGGCCTGGACAAACTTGCCAAGTGACTAGCACCGCACAGGGGGCAAGGCGTGTAGGGCGCTAGCCGGAAGAACTTGCCACCGGGAAGATAAGAACCATCCTTGGATAGCGCGCAACATTCCTTGGGACGTGGGAACATCAAAACTAATAGGTTGCAGGGCCATACTATTGAAAGGATTCAAGAGCCATCTTATCAAGCCATGGACTGTGCGAACCAGTTTTAAAGTCTCACGGTCAACCGGCAACCGGGTCACGTGTTCGAAAAAAAATACTTTACTTCGAGTGTTCCCCATTTGTCTTGATGCCATAGTGAGGAGCATGTTGCCATGGTCGTGAGTATTGTAGTTCTCGATTTTGCTTGTGGGTCCTCGGGTTGTGTGCTGTGGTTGTGTGTTGTGGTTGTGTGCTGTGTTGTGGTTGTGGTTGTGTGTTTGTGGTTGTGTGGTTGTGGTTGTGTGCTGTGTGTTTGTTGTTGTGTGTTTGTGGTTGTGTTTGTGGTTTTGTGTTTGTGATTTTGTGTTTGTGGTTGTGTGTTTGTGGTTGTGTGTTTGTGGTTGTGTGTTTGTGGTTGTGTGTTTGTGATTGTGTGTTTGTGTTTGTGTGTTTGTGGCTGTGTTTGGGGTATTGTTTGTGGTTGTGTGTTTGTGATTGTATGTTTGTGTTTGTGTTTGTGGCTGTGTTTGGGGTATTGTTTGTGGTTGTGTGTGTGTGTTTGTGGTTGTGTGTGTGTGTGTTTGTGGTTGTGTGTGTGTGTGTTGTGGTTGTGTGATTGTGGTTGTGTTTGTGGTTGTGTGTGTGGTTGTGTGCTTGTTGTTGTGTTTGTGGTCGTGTTTGTGGTTGTTGTGTTTGTGGTTGTGTGTTTGTGATTGTGTTTGTGTGTTTGTGATTGTGTGTTTCCGGTTGTGTTTGTAGTTCTGTGTTTGTTGTTGTGTTTGTGGTTATGTGTTTGTGGTTGTGTGTTTGTGGTTGAGGTCCGGCAGGGGACACTTGGGCCTGGAGCTCGCAGTTGAGGTCCGGCAGGGTACACTGGGCGCAGATGGTCGCGGTTGAGGTCCGGCAGGGAACACTGGGCATGGATGGTCGTCGTTGAGGTCCGGCAGGGTACACTGGGCGCGGATGGTCGTAGTTGAGGTCTGGCAGGGAACACTGGGCATGGATGGTCGTCGTTGAGGTCCGGCAGGGAACACTGGGCATGGATGGTCGTCGTTGAGGTCCGGCAGGGTACACTGGGCGCGGATGGTCGTGGTTGAGGTCCGGCAGGATACACTGGGCGCGGATGGTCGTGGTTGAGGTCCGGCAGGGAACACTGGGCGCGGATGGTCGTGGTTGAGGTCCGGCAGGGAACACTGGGCGTGGATGGTCATTGTTGAGGTCCGGCGGAGGAGGCGGAGGAGGAGGAGGAGAAGGAGAAGGAGAAGAAGGAGATGGGGCTGACGTAAAAATCTAACAACCCTCACCTGACAGGTGGGGAACAAAACACTCCCGGGTTCAGCTTTGGGCACCTGTTCGAAAATAAGGGGCTCATGTGGGTTTCCTTCTCATGTGGGCTCATGGAGTTCGCATCGAGTTCGCTCGAAAATAGAATTTGCTCAAGGGGGAACTAGATAAGGGTTGACAAGGTAAGACTGGTCGGTCACTGGGCTGGGCGTGTTTTGTGCTGGGGAGGCGTCGTGAGTACTTCCAGGTCAGGGTGGGATGTAGTGGGAAGGATTTGCTGAGTGCCCGGCCCAGGCCATTTACAATCTCATTGATGCTTTTGTGGGTCTTTGGAAGAGCCTGACTCTATGCCCGGCCCATCGCACTGATGCTGAGTCGCCACGGCCCTCCAAATGGAGAAGAGTGCCAAGTAGGCGCCTTGGCACCCCCCAAAAAGGGTGAAGTCACGCGTTCAGTTCCGGGAAACAAGATCGGCACGTGGAACTCAGCAACCCCTTGCAGTGAATATGACAACTTACTACCAGGACCATCCAATGGGTATCCTGGCTGGACTACCCTCCACTTAGGGATCTCCAAACGGGACACCCATTGGACCCGGCGCCTCGCGGCGACGCTCGCGTCGGAGCGGTCGCAACGGTCGCGACCCGAAGCGATCGTCCTGAGCGCTGCGCAAGCTGCCAAGCCCAGGGTGGAAGTGAAAGCGAGGCTCCTGAGCTCCGAGTTTTCGGGCGCTTATGCGTGTGAGCGGAAGGGCTGTTCTCCAACCCAGGGTGTGATGCCGAAATCGGGGAAGAGCAGGGTTGTTTTGATGAGAATGCAGGGCTTTAAACCCACCAGTCTCCCAGGAGTCCAGTCATGAAGAATCATGAAGATGAAAGGGTGCCGGAAATTGATTGTGATTCGTGGGGGCTTGTCGCTAAGTGGGTGACATTTCATGTATAAAGCAAGCAAAAGAAGCCCGACCTTTGGTCGTGTGCGTTTGAATACCATTTATGTATCAGGCTCCAAGCACTCGAAAGGGCGGAAAAACATTGAAAAACACACTATAATCACTATAATCACAGACACCTTATTGAAAAACGCTCGCAACATGGAACCTAAATGCAATCGTGAAGGAACCAAAGGCCAAAAGTTGTACTGTGTCGGGGTCAGCAAGATATACACTTCCAAACTGCTGTCCTGGCCAGGGAAACCGTTGTGTTGGCACCTGTGAAGAGTTTCGTGGTTTCTCCTCTCAGCCGAAGATTTTCCTACCAGTCCTCGCTCATGGCAAGGGAGAGGTGAGTCAAGTTCTGGTTATAGACAAGTGAGATAGCTTGGATAAACATGACTCCTGTCCGGAAACATGTCTGGGAAACCTTGTCCCTCTATGCACTTCGAACACAGCCATTGAGTTCCGCTCTTCCGCTGAGGCCGTCTGCCGGGTGTCGAAAAGTCCTCTGCCAGGCACAGTGGCAGCAGCACGAAGACCGTGAGGCCGATCAACGTCGGCGTGCGCGCGACGAAGGGCTTCAATGCACCTGGAGCAACGAACGACAAACCCGAGCGACGTCCTGGAGCCTTGGAGCATCCTGGAGCCTTCCGAGCCTTCCCCTTTTTCTGCAAAAAAGCTCATGTCATCGGTCTCTCGCGCCTAGTGCTGGCAGTGCTGCCAGGCAGGTCTGCAAGATAGACGAGGTCAAGTCAGCCAGGATCATGGCCTTTGAAGCGGCTGAGAAAGATTGGACTTCAGGACCTCAGGGATGGAAAGGAATTAGAAAAGTATTCAACAGGTATGATCCTATAGGAATGCACTTCCATGAAAACGTTTTCACCATTTTGATCCATCTGAAACAGGGCTTCCAAACAGGGGCAGCAAAACTTTGAAAGCACCGGTTGAATAAGGGTACTATACCTGTGCCCACTGGGATTTGCATCATGCTTTGCTTAAAACAGTTTAAACATGTTTAAACCGTAAGGATAACATGTACAAATCAAACGAATCATGGCCCATCTTGTCACCAAATTCATGCATCAAATAATAATTGCCAAGTTGGGTCAGCCCTCACGAGAAAAGCTCCCAACTCCTAAGTTGTTAATGTTGTTTTGAGAAGAAACGAGCCGACCAGCGAAACCTCCAAAAAAACATCAAAACACACTCACGAAACACATCTTCTGATTGTAGTTGTGTTAGTGTTGAAGGAACAAACCCTCGTCTTGGAGTGCCAGCCTCTGCCGATCTCTACTTTGGAGCAAGGTGCCAACCTTTGACACATCCCAAAAGAAACATCACATTGGTGGAGCTTCCAAAACGTGGCTGAAAAACGATATTTCCACCGAAGATACATTGGCGCAACGTACTCCCATTTAAATCCCTCACGGCTAATCACAAACGGTGTTGCCTATTGGTCGACTTAAAAAAATAGGTCTCCTAACTGATGCAAAACGGCGTCCCATACAACACCCTGAGGTCACTCTGCTTTTAAACAAAGGGTGACGTCATCCATTCGTCCATTCGTCCACGTCCAGTTCTCCAGGACTCCGAACTCTCCACAAACTCCACTCTCCAGGACCCCGGACATAAACGGTGCAGGTGGTGAAGGACATGATACCTCAGCCCCAAACAAATCCCAGTCACGTCACGCGGAAGAGAAGCGAGTCCGGAAACACTTGAACACTTTGAACACTTTTCAATCAAGATGCAGAATCGAAACACGCGTTTTGTGAAAAAACAATGGCCTGGTCCCCTCCAAAAAGTTGACACCCTGAAATTCCCTGTGGAATGGCCATTCAGGATGAACAAGAAAGTATCCCAATTGCCGAGAGTATCATGCTGTTTCTTTTCACACAATGATGTGGAATCACTTCAAGAGAAACAAAGCTCACCTTGCGCTTGCACTCTCGCAATGCATGCGCCAACGCATGCCAGCCACTTCCTTACGACCAACATCTAAAACCGCCGTAAACCCAAATTCTGTTGTTCTGTGCACACGGCGCGATGCGCGACGGGAATGATGAAAATGGGTGACATGTCTGGACAAACCCCTATAAACTGCCATGCGCATCCACAACCTACAAGTTTGTCAGCCTTTGGCGACGACCGCGTCTTTTCTTGACATTCTTCAAAAATGATTGAAGCACCCTGCTCTTCTGATGAGTGGATTTGTCGGTTTGGTGGTTGGAAATGCCAGAATTGAACAGGTATTTGACCCACCGATGTCGCCGATCCGAAACCCATCTCACTATCCCGTATGACGTCCATGAAGGAAGTCCCGACGAAAGGGGGTTGGCATGAGAGTCCAGGCTCGGAGGGGACAGGCTGTTGACCCTTTTCGTCGACCCTTCGTACGAGTCAGCAACAGTGGGTCCACTGTGGATACTTGCAGGCCAGCTGCGAATAAAGATGCAAAAGTAAAGATAGCTATACATGCCAATATATTTATATGCAAGACTATATATAATTGCACATGTTTTTTGACTTCTTGTGATGTGCAACTCACTTGTGTTAGAAGTTTTCATTTTTGTGTGAACATGAAACTGCAAAACCAGTACTCTTCCAACAACCCGGCTGATCTTCTGAAAACTTTACACCTATGATTTCTATTGATTTCTGCGGTCTTGGAAGCCTTTGGTAACGTTCGCTACTTGAAATAAATTTGTCTCCCTGCCTCTGTCAGCACCTTCATCCCAAGGTTCCCCCTCGACCACGAATGAACTGAATGAACCTCCCAGAAAATCCAATTCACCAAGCCACCGTGGACCCTGGGCTCCCTGGTCTTAGATTTGGACAGAAAAAACATGGAAAAAAACACGTAAGCCCTGGCATTCCCTGCCTTTTCAGCCCAGGCGGCCCACTGCCATGCGCGGAAGCCAAGCTGTAGACTTTCCCACGCTCTGCGCCCAGGTATTCCCAAAGTCGCCTGCCCCGGTGTCCTCGAAGAGGCGCAAGGAGCGCGCAAAGCGCGGCAAAGCCTGTCCCTATTCCTAGTGATGCCCTTTGTTCCTAGTAGTTTCTTGTTACTGTACTAGTTACTAGTAGTCTGGCCAGGCGCATTCTTGGAAAACAGTACGTGGTGAACCTGGCACGTGGGAGAACGAGTGCGCTAAGAAGTCTCCCAGGGATGCTGTGTGCACTACTCGGATGTTGTGCGCTCAGCGCCACGCCCATTTCTGTATCAGGCCTTGTCAGGCGGCCTTCCTGACCAGGCCAAGCTGTTGGAACAGTAGTTCTGTGCACATTCCCTTGAAGACTTAACAACAGTTATTGCCATACAAGCAGCAGCAGCTAGTTCTTGTTGTGAACGTGTGTGGGCAACGATGCACACAGCAATTTCAAGTGAAGATTAAGTTATACGGTTATACGAGCATTCCATGGTCATTTCTCAGAACAACCATCAATGGGGCGGAGCTAGCATTGATGTACCAACCTCAGAATTGTCCTCACTCCCAAAAAATTGAAATCTAGTACGTTTGGAGTTTGGACAGGCGATAGTGATAGTCTCCAAAAAGCGACAACTTCTCATGGTCCCATGTCTCCAAAAGGAAGAACAAATTGCTTGTGGACCACGTGGGCCTTCAACATCAGATCAAAAGCATCACAAGAGTCAAACAAGGCAAGGGCTCAACAGGCCCCTCTTTTTCCCGCCCCAAGAGATTGCCACAGATCACTACGACCTGGAACCATCCCATGGCCCAAGCTGCTGCGCTGCTCTCTGCGACCATCTGAAAGGTATAGCCGGAAAGCCTCAGCTGCCCCCGTTGTCACCAGCACGCACCAACACATCAAACAGCACCAAATCCCAAACTCCATCGCTTTAACACGCCCTCCTAACACACCCTCCAAGCCCCCCTGTCACGCCCTGTCAGGTGGATGTGGAGAATCATGCCATTTTGCCAAGCGACATTGTCATGCCCAAAATGATCAATGTCGCCACACCCAGCCCCTGCGAGGTATGTGTGAAGGCAGCTGCCCCCGCCGAGAGTGACAAGGCCTGGGCGGGGGTGTCCGTGTCCTTTGCTCGTGTCCTGCTGTTATCACCCTTGGTGCTTGGTGTCTAGACAGGGGGTTTAGTGCATTTTGTTGCATAAATGGACCTGGATCTATACAAGATCCTTCGGCAGAAATTTTTGCCGCTCTTCGTGGTTTACATTGGGCATTTCTGCCTGGAACGGTCACCTCAATGAGAAAAAAAATAATGGCGGCGCTAAAGTGTCCACCTCCACCTGCAAATCTGGCTATGTGTGTCTTTGTTGTTGAAGGTTTCTTGTGCGGAATGAGCACGCACGGAGTAAAACCAGTCCAAAGTTGAAAACACCTTGCGCGAAAATGCCCAGCAAAAAGGCGGAAATACCCGAGAAAACGGTGGACATGCCCGAGAAGAAAAGGCGGAAATACCTGGGAAAACGTGGCAGAAGGCAGGATTCAAGAACAGTACAATTGAAGGGGTTGAACATATGTTGCAGCCTGTTTATGAATGTCATGAATTTAGAAGGTTTCAGAAGTGTAAAAGTCATAGGGTGTGAGATTTTGACAGGTGAAACTATGTCCTTGCAGAACGATATGTGGTCTGCACTCATGGAAAAAACAACCTGGTCGGTCTTAGGCAGTGGTGGCGGAAATTCCTATAAGAATTTCCCCCACATCCGCGAATCCTCCCGGGCAAATCGGACAAGGGCAGCTTTTGTGCTTCTAGCTATGGATAAAGCAGTGCGTCATCATTCTGGAATATTCTGGAGCTCCCGGTTGAAGAATCAAGTCCCTTCAGGGTGCTGAGCATCTGCAACCAAATGATGGACAAGAGTAGAAGCTCTTTCATGAACTCGCCGACGATGAGGGGTGTTTACTCATTGCCATGCTGTTCACCGTCACCGTGAACAGAGCTCAACACACATAACACACCATGATTCATAAAGTAGACGGTTCATCAATCAAGCCCCCATATGAAGAGGTGTTACCATCCAGGCGTCTAGGCCCAAAGCCTTTCGCCTTTGGGCACACCGGGTTCCCGCGGCTGGGCTGCTCCTTTCGCAGGGAGGGTCCAGCGTCCACAGAGGTCTCAGGACCGACCCGCCTGAGACCTCAGTGGTAGCTTTTGCCGCAGCGCGCCATGGTTGTGGGTTTGGAGCGCTGGCATGTGGCTGTCGAACGGATGATCGACGAGCCATGGAGAGGGAGGATCAAGAGCTTCTTCCAGGATCGCCGTGCAACGGCTCACCTGCTCCGGCCGGGTGGGAAGGTGATCATCTCTGGAATGGTGGCCCTTGCGACCGAAGCTGTTCTCGAAGTCGAACCGTTTGAATTCAACCCAGGCCGTGGGTTTGTTGTGCCCTCGCCGAAGGGTTCGAAGATCAGGATTGCTGTACCGGAGCTGGGACGAAGAGCTGTTTTTCCTTCCGTGGGCGACCACATCACCTGCGTTGGAAGCCAGATTGTTGACAATCAGTGGGAGACTATCTCCTTGGGGGCTGACACGGTCATTGTGCCCCAATTCAAGCATACGGAACCGCTGAATGTCCTGCACCTTTTTGCCGGTGCTTATGGTGGTTGGACTCGTGCTGCTCATTGGTTGGCTGATGCTGTACCTGCCCTTCCAATCGCTCATGAGCTTCATGTTGATCATGATGAACGCATCATGCAGGTGTGGAGCCGACAACATGGTGTGCCACATAGCACCGGGAGGGCGCCTTCCACGCTTGCTAACACGAACCTGCAGACTGGTATTTGCACTGGAGTTGATGATGCTTCCTTGCTCAATGCATGGCCACATCGCTACAATAGTGTTACAAGTGCCTCGCCCCCTTGTATTTCCTGGTCGCAAGGAGGACGACAGCAGGGACTCAACTGTAGCAGTGGCTATGCTATGATCGAAATGATCATGCTGGCCGAGATTCAGCAACCGCTTCTTCTCTTCCTGGAAGGAGCGGATTCAACTGTTTATCATGAGCACTTCCCCATTTTGGAAGCTTTGTTGAATCTCATAGGCTACCATAAAGTTTGGCAGCAGGTTGTGCACCAGCATCAGCTTTCGCATAACCACAGGTCTCGGTGGCTTGCAGTCTGGGCTCGTCTTGACTTGGGCCTCCAACCCCATGAGATGGTTTTTGAGCTTCGTGCACCACCCTTGGTTCCATGGAATGACGCCCTCAACACCTTTTTTGGGTTCCAGAATCCTTCAGTGACCAGCTCAAGCTGGATTCGGAAGCTTTGGGGATGTATGGTAACCCTGGGTTACTGCCACCAGCAAAGAGGGTCAAAACCATTGCCTCCACCACTGAGGTACTGCATTCGAGGGTTGCCGATGTCAGCCAACCACTGCCGACCCTCTGCTCCTCGTACACTCGTCAGTCGTCAGCACCGGCTTCAGGTCGAGCATGTCATGAGCAAAGGCATCTTCGCTGCACTGGAGCTGAAGAAAGGTGTTTACACCTTCATGTGCCCCACTCGGTTTGTGCCCCTTTTCGGTACTACAGGGACAATCACTCTGCCGAGTGATGCTCCGTTTGCCTTCCACATACTAGGTAATGCTATTTCGCAATCTCAGGCAACTCTTTGCTTGGCGGTTGGATTTGCTGCCCTGTTCGGCCTTGATGTCTCTCCGACCATGCTCGTCAAACAAGCGTGGAATGACAGGCTCACCAGTCAGAATGCTTTGGTCCAGGTCTTTGAAGACTGGTTAACGATCACACGAGTTCAGGACATTGCTGTGTCTATGCCTTGTCGCTCCAATTTGGTGCCTTGTGAGGGACATGGAGTTCAGCTTACTCTTGTGCATGTGCCCACCCACCATACGTGGAATATTCGAGTGCCGGAAGCAGCTACTCTCCTAACGGTCTTCATCCCTGCCATGTTCACCAAAGGGATCTGTCCTGATGCATTGCAGTTTCGCACCTTGGAAGGCCAGACCCTTCAGGACATTCCGATTCTGGAGGCACTCGCTCTGACGTCACAAGTTGAATGCCTTTTGTGGACTTTTCCGCTTCTGTGGATTCGACCAACTGGCCCAGCGGATGCTAATCTAGGGCGTGTTGACCCTCCTGCTGACATTTCTCCCACTGTGCCCTTTTCTCCTTGTGCTGAGGAGCCATTGACCCTTGTCTTGGAGACTGTGCCACCGCAAGCTCCTTCACAGGAGCTCTTCCAGGAGATGCTTCATTTCTTGGACTTCAATGCCAAGTGGAAAGACAACGAATGTTCCAACAAGCAACTGGTTTCCCTCCTCTGGGAGAATACTCTAGGAGTTCTTACACTCAAACTTGATGCTACAGTTCCAGCAGCTGACCTTCAAGAGCAGTTGGCCACACACTTTGGCAACAACCAGTTTGCCATCTACCAAACCCATTTGCCATTCCCAAGATTGCCCCAGGACCTCTCTTCACGGTGAGGTCACGCAATCACAGCAATGATGCTCTTGTTGTATTCCAGAAGCTGCAGACCGAAGTCTGGGTGCGAGCCCACATCGTGCCCAAGACACTTCACAGAAACACCATGGTCACCACACTCCACGGTGCATTCCGCATAGCTTACCACAACAATCAAGCTTGCTCGACTGAGCAACTTCACCTTGCAAATGGAGATTGGCTGTTGATTGAACCAGTGCCAACGACTGTTGTGGCAGGTGGCCACCACAGATGGACTCGAAGCCCTGAAACTCTTCCACGAGGAGCCAACTTCACTGCTCGTGTTTCCTTCAGCATCAACACCCATGGCTGGGCTGCGTCCGATGAAATTCATGCTGCCATGATGTGGTTGCATACACATTTCCCGGAAACGATTGCAGAGTTCAACCTTTTGTGCTGGAGGACCAATGAGCAAGAATTCAATGACGAGCTCTATGGAGAGCCACGGTTTGCTGAGAGCGGGCGAACAGTCATTGCTGTCCTCGTTGACAATCACTGGGCTGCTGTTGAAGTCAACCGGATTGGTCGTCACACTCAGGTTCATGTCTTTGGCCTTGGTGCTCCATTTGCCCAGCGGGCTCTCCTCATGATGTGCAGATGCATTGATCTTGCACCTCACAGGGTGCAACAGCACATCCATCCTGCTCAAGCTCCTGTACATCTTTGTGGTTGGTTCCTGCTTCAGCGCTACTTTGTTCTGTGTGGAGCTCTGCGTCAGCTTCCAGACTACTTTGATCTTTTCAATGCGTTGCCTGCGTTCCGCCGAGCTGAAATCCGTGAGGCCTGGGAATCTGGACAGGAAGACTGGCGACGTGCGGGAGCCAATGAAGACCTGGTCATTTTTGCCACCACTCTCCGTACCAACTTCCTTGTCAATCTCGCGGCGACTGCCACTGATACGTCCTCTGCAGTCAACATACCGCTGGTTGCTGAGTTCACACCACAAACTGTCACTGCCGTTAGCACGACACCTGCTGTGCCTTCACCACCTGAAGACACACACACAGCTGACACCTAGCAGCCGCAGCCGTCAGCACCCATTCAGCCTGTTGGTGTTGCACCCTTACCTGCGCAGCAGCACCATTCGCTCCACCGTATCCAGAGTCGCTTGCTTGAGTGCCTTGTTCAACCTGGCTGGCTTTCCTCTGACCTTCTTGACCACACGCTGGACGTCCTTCGCTGGCAGTACTCTCATGTTTGCTTTTGCCCACCAGCAGTGTGGGACTCTGATCGTTGGAACCTGCGTTTCTTGGCTGATCTTGAATGCTTGCATGAGACCTTCAGTCAATTGTTCCTTTTCGTTCTGTGGAGAGAACATTGGATTTTGTGCGAGATTCACATGCATGCATGGGAAGTGTCCATTCAAACCATTGGGCCACTCGATGCTGTGCCAGATTCGCGCTACATTGTGGAAGCTGTGTGTCAATTGTTCAACGTCCATGATCTTGTGCTTAATACCTCCGCTATGCACTTTGGTGCTGCACCAGGTCTTTGTGGTTGGGCTTTGCTACACACACTCTTTCGACGCTTTCAATGTCAGATTCCTCCGCTCAGTCAGCCGTGGCGTGCTGCTCTTCGCGTGCACACCTACCAT